AGTAGTGGCATACGCTTTTTAAAATAAGCTCCTAGGCTTATATATCCTGAATATGGATCGTATGCGACTTAAAATAGAGATGACCATGGTGTATCGCTTGATTATACTCCCGCCATTGTCCTTCACAGAGTATTCTCAGTTGGAAAATTTTTGATGTGGCGCCAATGTTGGCATGTGATTGTGGAAGTATAACTTTTTTTATTATGAACTTCCTAAACTTTCTTGGGTGAAAGTCGAAAAGCTGGAAAACTACTGTTTGAGACTCAAATGACAGTAATAAACCTGTCAACCGGATTGCTGTATGGATAATAATGTACTCGGAAGTGAGAGAGAAATCCTACCCATAATTTTTAGTGTCATGTTCATTTACCTCAAAAGGGTTTCGGCAATATACTTAAGAACTTACATACCATAACTTATGCTACTACATGAGAAATTTCTGCAATGTGATTGGCTTAGAGCAGTGGTATTTCAACGTTTTGCGGGTAGTACTATAAATAATAATAATAATAATATTTATTATTTGGTGTTACGCAAATTAACATATATCAAATGATCAAATGCGCATTACAAACTATTAAAGCTAACTAAAAATATATTAATTATCGAATTAAACATGAATATATCTGTAAATGACACCTTACTTAATTATTTAGTACTTAACCTATTACTTACAATAATTATAACTAAAAGAAATGTTAAATGTTTCATTAAAATTGATAAAAAAGAGTGTAAAATTAATATACACCTATGTTTAATTAGAAACTGTATGCAAGCTTAAAATAATAAGTCTTAAGCTGTTTCTTAAAAGTATAATAGTTGTCCTGTTTCCTAATGTCCTTCGGTAAAATGTTCCAGATTCTAGGGGCGGCTACTTTGAAAGTCCTGTCTCCAAGTGTCTTCTTTGACCATGCACTATAATCCTCGAGTAACATCTCCCCGTCCGATCTAAGACTTACATCTGGTGGTACTCTTAACTTTTATTAGATCCTTAAGGTATTCGTTTGCGTTACCATAGATACACTTATGAGCAAGCATTGCTATCTTAAAATTTACCCTATACGTTACTGGAAGCCAATGTAAATTAACAAGTGTAGAAGTAATGTGATCATACTTTGCAACGTTACTGACAAGGCGAGCCGCCGCATTTTGTAAACGCTGTAATTTACTTAGCTGGGTGGATGGAACACCGACCAAGAGGCTATTACAATAATCTATGCGTGACATTATAACTACTTGAACATGCATGACTTGACTTCCTGTCATCATAACTTAAATACCTGCTAATGCGTTTAATGTTATACAGATGATAAATAGCAGCTTGGCACGTTGCATTTATGTGTGCAGACATGTTTAGGTTCGTATCAAGCCACAATGAACAAATAATAGCATGATTTGTAGGTGATATTTGGCATAAATACCACTCGTAATATTTCAAAATTTTCTGAAATTTAACTCGCCTAAAGGCTCGTGAAATTACGTGTAACAATTTTGAAATATCACTCGTGGTATTTATGCCAAGTATCACTACAAATCATGCTATTACCTATACACATACATTAGAAATGTAATGACAGCTAAGAAACAATCCTTGTTCAATGTTGTTATTGAAATAAGTGACCAGGTATTTATAGTTAGCATTTTTGCTATTGAAAATGTTCAGTCATATGTTTTTATCGGGCCCTCCTAAAAGCTCATCTTGTTGTCATCAATAATGATCCACTGCTAAGAATAGGGTAATTTTCGCACTTTTTGCTGTTTCGTCAAAGGCCTTCCTGGACGCCATTTGCATTTCCTTGTAGCCTGCGTAGCACGCGCTACGCAGGCTAATTTCCTTGTCACCTTTCGTCAATGGCTCTGAAAAATTTCGAGATTTTTGTTATTTTCGCAATTATCGTAGTTTTTGTAATTTTCGCTGCTTCGTGGAGGGTCTTCATTGACGTCATTTGCATTTCCTCGTCACTGTTCGTCAAGGCTTTGAAAAATCTCGAGATTTTTGTTATTTCCGCAATTATCGTAGTTTTCGTAATTTTCGCTGCTTCAAGAGGGCCTTCCTTCACCTCATTTGCATTTCCTCGACACTTTTCCTCAATGGCCCTGCAAAATTTCGAGATTTTTTTATTTTCCCAATTACCGTAGTTTTCGTAATTTTCGCTGTCTCGTCAAGGGTCTCCGTTGACCTCATTTGCATTTTCTCATAACTTTAATTTTTGTCAAGGGCCCTGAAAGATTTAGAGATTTTAGTTAATTTCGGAATTTTCGTAGCACTCGTGCAAAATTTTGTTTTTTTAGTACATTTCGTCACTGAGTTCCATCATGGACATATCTCCACGCAGACATTCTTAAGGCTTTAATCACTACGAGGGTAGTATCGACATCTTCCTTTTTTAAGAACGATGATTTTTTCCGTCAGTGTGACACAGGGAGGAAATAAAATCCGATTATTCCTAACAGCAGTCGAATCTACTACTTTCTGGTTACTCGTCCAGATATTCCACCAAAATTGTTTCTTTTTTGTCCGTTTGTGTTTTTAGTTAATTGACCACGAGCATAGTTTGGAAATAAAATCAGGACTTTCAATCATAGTCACATTTTAGTGCCTTTCTACATTTAGAAAACAACAGTGATAAATTTACACCTTGGACCATTCCTTCGGGTGTATTCTCAACTTATATCCTCTTCATTTCGCTACATACTGTTTTGAATGGTAGATTACGTGCATAAGGCCCCGTTTCTTAAAAAAGTCCCGGTAATTATCAGGCACATAACGTGGTTTTATGTCTGCAACGTTACAGTGCGACTACTATACTGTAACCGGGGCCACTTAGACAAAGTTGACCAATCGGATTACAGGAAAACTACACTACATTCTAAGAAAATTGGTTGTGAGCTAATCTGCAGCTCGTAAAAATCAATTAGTTACTCGAAGCACGATATTAGATATTGATAGCAAATCTTTTAAGGAAAGCAAAATGTTTCACCAGACAATCTTTTTCTATCCGAAACTTTACATATAACAACCAGAAGACATACGCCACGAGCTGTTATTTTATCATCTACCAGCAATTTCTTCGCTACCATTGCCACACTTTACAACATCACGACCTCAAGCCTCTGTCATGAATTCACTAAAACGAATTTCTCAAGAAACACGGGTTTTCTTCAGCGGTTCAAAAGGTCACGTCTGTAGGTTGTAATTGGTTGATTTTGATCCATGTTGCTTATTTCGATTCTAGTTGACACCTTTCTCTCTTGCTCTCTTACTTTCCTGTAATCCTATTGGTCAACTTTGTCTAGGTGGCCTCGGTTATGGACGCACTGGAAGTTCAATATAAAAGTTCTTGTAGTTTTTAGAGTAAAACGACAAAACTGGCCGCTCCACTTGCAAAGTGGACTAGGTTGTGAGGTAGAGCCCACGCTATAAATGGCCTGTACTGTTCTCTTATTTACATTTTAAAGCGTAGCTTCGAGGGGGGTAAGTAGGTAGGACCTTTAATTGCTCAGGCTTCTCTCTTTTGTTTGTGATTGATGCATTGACCTTCTTCAATGCGAGGAAACGCGACGAGGTGGAAAGAAATTGTTGCAATTGGAAAGAAGGTCGCTCGCGTGAGCCTAGGACTAGGCAATTCTGATATTTCTTTTGCTGTGTGCTTTAACACAATAAATAAATAAATAAATAAATAAAAAAGAAAGTGGCACAATACCTCGGTCAGTTTTTCTCCCTCAACCTCTGACAGGAATTGCTAAGTAAAGTAGATACCTTATTTTTCTTTCGCACAATTTCTCTAGATCCCAATCAAACATGGAGTACAGTTTGGAACAATTAAACTTTTTTAGAGCATGTCACATCTTCTTCAACGTAGTTCCCCGAGGGCTTCGAAAAGTCTTCAAGCAAGAGTGGGATTTGGTTTACAAGACAACCCCGTCTGGGGAATGGAAAGATATTTCACAAAATGGCCGTGATTTCTACAGTAAAGAATCAGGAAAGAGTCGCACAAGGAATAAGCGATTTTTAGCGACAATACAAAGCGGAAACACGGCAGAGTGGGATTGCAGTTGCCTGGTTTTTGCTATTTTGAACTCGGATTGCATTGGCAGTACTCTTAGTCCAGCAGTCAGAAAAGAAGTAGACGATCTCAGACAAGTTCGAAATTATATCGCTCACTTGAACGAGGCTGAAATTACTGATACTGAATTCCAAAATTACGTAGCGAGAGTGTTAGCTGCTTTTAATGCCCTGAAGCTTCCAATTAAAGAAGTTAATGATGTCAAAAACCAGACAGACTTTCCAACAGCTGAAGTGAAAAGCTTGAAAATGCAGGCTGATAAACTGAAAGCGGACTTACAATTGACTCAAGAAACATTACAGTCAAAGCAGGAAGAAGTAGAAGCACTTACTCAGGAAATCAATTCCAAAGTCGAGTCTTTCCGTACTCTGACATTCAAGCCATCACATGAAATCATCGAACGATCACGTGATGTTACAAGAATCATGAAAAAAACTGGAAGAGCTTTACAACGAAAGTAATAGAGCTATTAGCACCATTTATCTATCAGGAATTCCAGGCTGCGGAAAAAGCCAATTAGCTCGACAACTGGGAGAGCACATTTACAACAGGAAGTTGCAAGAAAACGACAGTCTTACGTTTGTTGCAACCCTAAATGCAGAAACCCTAGATTCACTTGCAGACTCCTATTCCAATCTCGCTAGACATTTGGGAATAACAGAATACACTCTGACCAGCCTCGAGACTTCTACAAAGGGGAAACCAAAAGAGAAAATCCAGTATCTGAAGCGAGTCATTTATCCAAAGACGAAGCATTTCTCCAGCTGGCTGATAATTGTAGATAATGTTGTTGACCTTTCATTGGTTTTGAGGGATCTACCTCCGACCGGTAGTGAGGAATGGGGCCATGGTCAGGTGCTAATAACTACTCAAGATAGCAGCTCAATCCCCTTTAATGCTCCACTTACTTACCATGAGTCTCTTAGCGATGGAATGCATCCCGATGACGCAGTGAACCTACTACAACAGGTATCTCACATTGATGATCAGAACCAAACTGAAGAAGTCGCCAAAGTTCTTGAGTATCAGCCACTTGCTTTAGCAGCCGCTGCCTATTATGTAAAAACCATTGTGGTCACCGGTTCTCCGAACTACCTCTGGAAAGACTACTTGGATGCACTTTCCCACGGCAAACGTAAAGTGACAGAAGAACTTCTTGCCAAAGAGAACATAGCGTATTCCAAAACAACAACTACTGCCATTCAAATGGCAATTATGAGAGCTTTAGAAGGTGATGAAGTTCTTCGAGAAGTATTGTATTTGTTTTCTCTTTGCGCATCTGAGTCTCTTCCGATGGAAGTTGCCGTTGACTTCGTTAAATCACGTATCACGGGACAATCAGAAGAATTGATCAAAACTAAACTTTTTAAAGCTTCCTTATTGTCTTGTCTGCTAGACAAAGACGGCGCAGATCCTTTTTAAGGATGCACAACATCTCTCATGAAGTGCTCAAGTCAGTTATAACATCTAAAATTGATTCAACAGATAGAATTCAATGCATTTCTATTGTTATTAAGATCTTTAACCGTTTAATGGCAAAAAAAAACAGGGATCTGTTACATTCAAGTGGACAAGTGTTTGCGAAATTACGTTTAATTGCGAGTCACTGTAAAGAACTTCGTGTAATTATTAATACCGATTTTACTAAATCAAAAATGTTTCTGGAATCAATCACCCCTAGAGAGTTAGTTTTGTGGCTTTCCTCAAGCGCTGATGTTTGCTGTAGCCTTAGTAATCCGTCGGATGCGGATCTTTTTAATTCCTCAATCCGTAATTTTATGCATTTTCTTAACGATTCCGAAGAAGACAAATCATTAAGAGCGGACACCTACAGCATACAAGGAAATGTTTACCGTGACCTTTGCCAATACTCTGAAGCTGAAAATCACCACAAGAAGGCCCTCGTCATTAGAAAAGAGATTTACGATGAATACCATCGTGATGTAGCAGCAAGCTACAATAACCTGGGAATGGTTTACAGGAAACGTGACCAGTACAGTGAAGCTAAAGAAAACCATGAAAAGGCTCTCGTCATTAGAAAAAAGATTTACGGTGAACGCCATTGTGAGGTAGCAACAAGCTACAGCAACCTGGGAACTATCTACTGTGACCTTGGCCAGTACAGTGAGGCTAAAGAATACGGTGAGAAGGCTCTGAACATTAGAATAGAGAGTTACGGTGAACACCATTGTGACGTAGCAGAAAGCTACAGTAACCTGGGAAATGTTTACCTTGGCCTTGACTCCTACACTGAAGCTAAAAAAAACTATGAGAAGGCTCTCATCATTAGAAAAGAGATTTACGGTGAACCCCATGGTGAGGTAGCAACATGCTACAATAATCTCGGATGTGTTTACTTAAACCTTAGCCAGTACAGTGAAGCTAAAGAATACTATGAGAAGGCTCTGATCATGAATAAAGAAATTTACGGTGATCAACATCGTTTGACTGAGATAGTTTTAGACAACTTGAAGGAAGTTGAACAGAAAATAAGAAAAAGAAAACTCGAACAACAAACGAACGTTGCATTATTATCTAAGAAATACAGGAAGAAGTAGAAAGTATATATCCGTTGTTATTTCAGTGATATATGAATGGGAACTCATTGAATAATGTGATGCTCAGCACACTCTTTTTTGTTTTGTTTTGTTTTTTTTTACTTTTTTTTTTCCAAAGAGCTTTTCATAAGAAATTTTAGCCTAAAATTCGCCAAAGTATTAACAACATGCTAAGAACATAGCTGAGCTCTCAGAAGAACAATTTCACTGCTTTTACATTCCTAAATCCAAAAAAAACTGAATTACATAATGTCCTACAGGGAATCAGAGTGCATGTAAAATTTTGTTCTTTCAACACATTCCTATTGTGTATGGTCAGTAATACATTTACATTGTACTTGTACAATACATTAATATGAAAACCGCTATATTCATTATCTTTAGCGATGTACTGAATGTTACAAAGAGCGTCTTGATATCAGATCTATATGTAGCTTAAAATTTATTAGATTTCGAAATTTAAGAACACCCGTAAGAGCATTTCCAGGCTGAAGCTACCCAGAAAATAAGAACGGCCCAGGCTCAACTCGAAAAATGGACGTTCTTAAAAAAAATAATAAAAAAATGAAGAGTGTGGTCGAGTTGTTGGACTTCGGTGAGCAGTTTGGAAACATTAACTTCGCGATTATTTTAACTTTAAATTATAACTCTTGGGATACGTTTTTGTACTTTACTCTAACAAATCACGTGAAATTTGGAAAGACATCCATAAGATACTAGAACCTAGTCCCAAGCCTTAACGCTTTGATCTTGACGAACTAAACGTGCATTTCTCGTCGACCGCACAGGGAACTCTCGATGTAACTGCAACATCCTACGTCGAGCTGGGTGATTTGATTGATAGTCTCCTTGAAGATTCAACTGACCGTGCCCGCTTCCGTAGTCTATCTTTGGTTACTCGGGAGGAGGTAATCAAGACCCGTAAGACCCTGTGATCTGATTCTTCTACAGGTCCTGACCAAATCCCGACTAAATTTGTCAAACTAGTGGCTGAGTATCTGGCAGAACCTCTGACTATAATTATATGGTGGTATAAATAAAGCATACTTTCCGAAGTTATGGAAGATGGTGCCTTTCTGCTTCACGATAAAATTTCCAGTTTCCACAAAGGACGTTCGACCACAACTGCCCTCTTAGGTATAAGAGACGTTATATAGCGCGTCATGAAGAGGAAAGAGGTAACATTGTTAGTACTTGCTGATTTTTCTAAAGGACTATCTAAAATGGCTATTGACTCGGAGCTACTTATCTGGTCGGCTACAGTTTGTACAAATTGATGATGTCAAATCATGCCTTAAAGCCTCTCAGTTTGGTATACCTCAAGGGTCTATCCTTGTACCAATGATCTACAACTTGTATGTGTTAGATCTACGAGATAACCTCGTGAAAAATTCCATGTTGTTAAAAAGATAAACATGTCACTACAAACTTCGATAAAATGGTAGCTTCGAAGGTTAAAATTCCCGGCTTCTTGCGTGACACAACTTGAAGTGAAAACAATGATCATCGGAGCGACAGAAACTATTAGGTTTTTGCTAGATTGCTGATGTCAGAGAACCGGACAGAATCTTTTGCCATTGTGCAAACTTTTCATCTCGTGATTATTTTAAGTTCATGTAGGTCAGTTCAACATGTTTTAAACTTAGCCTGCTTCAGCGAGCGAGATACTTATCATTCAAAATGGCCCGCGTAGATATATCAGACGTAAATAAAGGGTGCGTTCGATTGGGAAATCCGAATTTAGATTTTCAAAGTCTTCCCAATCGAACGCGAAATCCGAAAACGGATTTCACCGAGAAATCCGTCCTCAGGATGGATTTCAATTAAGAAATCAAAATCCGGATTTCATGGATTTGCTTTTAACCGGTCGATTGGGAAATCCGAAAAAGGATTTCCAAAACTATTCTCGTGAACAGTGGTCTTCTTTTTGCTACGTATGCGTGCGCGTGCAAGACCGTTGTTCTTATGGACACTTTTTCAAATCCTTTTTCGGATTTCCCAATCGAACGGTAAAAATGAATAAAAACAGATATCTCAGCGTTGAAATCCGTTTTCGGGTTTCGCGTTCGATTGCAAATCCAAAATCCGGATTTTAAAATCTAAATCCAGATTTCCCAATCGAACGCAACCAAAGCATTACAGTTGTAACAACCTGCACTGATACGCGGATAAAATTGTCCAAGCTTACTTTATCCCAGAATATTTTTCGTGCATGTGAGAGGTTAAACTACAAATATGTAAATAGACTCAAACACGCGCGTAAACTTCTCACAGCACAAATGTTACCTGGTCTTTATTTGTGTGTTTCTACGAAGTTCCAGGTCGATTTGAACAGTATTAACCGAAAAAGGTGTTGCAGAACCATCAGCTCAGTGATAAAACCCGCTCAGAAAACAAACTAGGCTCTGTGAACTTAAGAATAGCTAAGGGGCTCCTGTCTTTCGATTTTAGTTGACAATACTCACATTCGTAGTAGTTTCTATTCTGTTTACAGTCAGCCTGATATTTCAGACGTCTCCTCGAGTCGCAAGAGGAGGTTGCGACTCGTGGAGACGGCTGACGTTCAAGCTAGTTTACAGTTTCCCGCCTGGTTGAGGATGGTGATCGCCGCTGTGATTTAATTTGGGCATCCCCTGTGACGTTGCATTTTTTCCACTCTGTGTGCTGAAACGCTGTTCCCCCCCCTATATTTCGAGCCCAAGCCTAATTTATCCAAGACACTTATTGCTAATGCAACTTGTTATTTTTGAAAACACTATTTTCCAGTTGAATTCACTGAATATTACAGTATCCGTTTGTTACGTGTCTGGGTCAAAGGTGAATAGAAATGAAGGGAGCCGTCCGTCTTTGTTTGTTTGTTTTTTTGTTCCACCTTGCAAAATATATCATCATCTCGGAGCATTTGGTTCCGTCGTGTCAGTGTCCTGTCTGGGGTCTGAAACGGGCATAGGAAGTCTGTGTGGATCTCCATGATCACGGGAATCACAACAGGCCTCCCGATAAAAGTTGTAGTTCCACACAGTCACGTTAGGAAACCATTCAAATTAGCACCAACTTCGTTCTCACCAGTTTAGTCGTCAGAGGATACCCAAATCACTTTGACAGTGGCGATCGCAATATTCAACTTGGCGGAGGAAAATAGGGGGCTGTGATCTAGCTTGAATTTCAGCCATCTCCTCGAGTCGCAAACTTCACTTGCGACTCGGGAGACGGATACAATTCAGGCTAACTGATAACAGTTAGAAACTACCGCTGCGCTACCACTGCCACTGCCACTGCAACTGCAACTGATTTACGGCGAATGTGAATCTTATCTACTTAAGTCCAAAGCGACGAGCCCCTAAGTTCTTCTTACGGTCGCAAAGCCGTAAATGGATAACCATTAAATCGCATGGCAAACAATTACGAGGGGTGGCTGTGTGAGGTAAGCTTGAAAACCCCTCTCCTCGCGCGCCATTTTAATATATTTTGAATTGAGAAGCAACTCTTCACTCATTACTGTCATTTCAAAATTATGACACGATATACGTGCGGTTTTTTCCCACGTATACTTGCAATCATTCCTGCTACACGATATACGTGCGTTTTTTTGCCACGTATACTTGCGTTCTTTCTTACAAACGCGCATATATATGCGCACAAAAAGGTCCATATGTATGCGTTACAAACAAGCATGTGGTATATGTGGTCACAGAAAGTCGTCGTATAAGAGGCACCGAATTATACCGTCAGCAAAAAACCCGTTCATGTACGATGAGGCTGGAAAGTAACTTCAGTTTTAATCAAGCATGGCCGCAATGGCCGGGTTAATTTCGAGCAAGATTTGGTTCTTATTCATTGCCCTCACAGTAGTGGTGGTTGTTGGCTCCCCTACAACAGATTTGTTGGAATCCATGGATTGTCTCTTGAAAGACTGTGTACGCTATTGCACAAGTGCTGACCGAAACAACGATCGATTCGGTTAGAAATTAGCGTCCGACAGGCAAAACACGACTCATATAAGCTCGTGATAATGTGAAACATGACCTTGAGAGTCTGCTTGAACAGATCAGTTTTTCTTCTTTTCTCTCTCTCGCGCGAATTATCACCTTTTCGCCTCCAGGAACACGTTCTAAGCCCAATGGTCCCTCCATTCACTCTATAAATTCCATATTTCTTGTTTTGTATTCTCACACTTTAATAGCCTTCCACCTGCCTCTCTTTCCTTAGTGCTCCTCCACTTTAATTGCGATTTTCATGGTTTAATATCTAACTCGTTCTCGTTCAACCTTGCATAAAATGTCCCTCAGGTATCAATTTACTCTAATAGATCATGGGCAACGACCAATCACAGCGCGCGTAGCATTCACATCATCAATTCAGTATGGTGATATGGTTGGGCTTAGATCAAAACCGGTTCAAACCGGATTCCCAAGGTCCTAAACCGCCCAAAACCTTCAGGGCGGAAAAACGTTCTGCGCAAGCTTCTGCGCATCCCTTATCGCAGGCTCAAGGCGGGAATTTTCTGTGTGTTCACTGTGCTTGTTTGTTGCTGGAGTTCTGAGTGAAATGCACGAGGTGCGAACGTCGCTTGAAAATTACTTTGGATTCAGAACAACCAATGTTAAAGGAAAAACGGATCATTCCGTCAGTCTGAGGTGGAATAAAAGGTTTTGAACATTTCTAAAGAGGCGAGTATTTTTTCTGATTATGCATCCGATTAATTTATGAGTTGATTTCGCCGGATTGAATTAACACCCGCTTGTATTCTGTCATTAGTAGTTACGGTTACTTTTTTTACATGCCCAGATTTATTACCTTTGCAAAACCAGCTTTTTCTTTGTCTTCAGTCAAAGAACCATATTGCTTTTTAATATAACGCATCAGAGTGAACAAACTTGTGCGCTTATTAAATTTTCTCGGAAAAAGAAGGCCAGCAGGCTTAGTCAAGATCATTTTTCTATTGCTCAAGTAATAATAGTCAGAGTTTTTTTCATTTTTCATTACATAGTTTGTTTTCCAGTGCACTGTGAAAGTTTCTGTTTTTTATAAGAATAACTTTCTGTACGCAAATTGTCCTTTTTGCTCGCTGTAGAGAACGACAACTGCCGGCAGTGACTTCAAAACAATTGACTGTTTTCTCGTAAACAATTGCTGCAGCTGGATTTGACTGAGGCGAGCAAAACAAACCCTTATGTGCAATTTTCTGTATTTTCTAATGATCGACTGAGTTTAATTTGCTTAAACGAAGACCCTCGCATGGACCAGTTAAGCTTACAGAAAATAGCTAAATGGTGAATCATGGCTTGGCTGCCAAGTTGCAACTGATCTTTTGCTTTTAAGATCTTTAGGTAGGTTGTTTTCGCACAGAAAATTAGTTTCTTCATTGTCAGCAAGAAGTTTTTGAAGTAATGTAACTTTAACTTTGTTTGAAGGAAATCCTACTTACGCGTAGGTTTTTGACAGATGTTATGCGTGTTCAACTTGACAACACAAAGCAAAATTTATATATCTGCGCGAAACGAGCAAGTTTCAAAAAACTATCGTTGCTTTGAAACCGATTTTTGGGAAGATTTTACTAGATAAAGATTGACCTTTTTTCTGCCCACATATCAACGCAATAACTGCTACATTGAGGATTTTTCTTATATTTTAGTGATCTGCGAAACTACGAGTGTCCGATCGAGCGAGGGTTTTAAAATATCAGCTCGAGTGCGACAAAGTTCAGTGACTTCAAACACATTGTGGGCAAGCATTAATTTTTTTGGGCAAATCACTGTCCAAAGATATGTTGCTTTTGTATCCACAGTGGAGCTCTGGACCTTATATATCCAGGAACTTCCTTATATGAGCACATTTTGTGAATGCATCTTGAAAAAAATCGGACCTACGCATGCAGATTTCCAGTACAACGCAAGGAAATTAATGTCGTTAAATTCCGTTTGGCTATGACGTATTCTTCAAGAAAATTAAGTAACGACGAGGTTATAACCACAGCTTGCAACTTTTGAAGACAAATTGCCTGTCCTCTCCAGGTTATGAGTGGAAACATTTTATTTTTAGGCAATAAAATATTTGAAATCCCGCCATTTTTTTAAACCCGGCCAGGGGATCTGGGCAAAAAAGTTCACGCATGCTCATTACGTTTTTCCGCCCTGAACCCAAAACCGGTTACCAAAATGCTGACATCAGCAAGAATCCCAATATCCAACTGAGTGTGAATTTTGGAGGGCACAGCCGTCGTAGTCACTATCTACCCAGAGCTATCTATCAGGTATCTGCTATCTACCACTGATTCTCCGAGGATGGCAACTATAAGCAATCCCACCGAAGGCCCGCGCGAAGAGAAAGAGAAAGACAAAGAGCAGGGATCATGCGTACTCCAGGCCTCGAAAGATATTGCGAACAAGCTACGAATCGATAGCATTGAGTCTACGAACACAGCAGGTTCGGGGTACGTATGTAGTAATTTTATTCTAAACTTTGCAGCTTGGTTAAAATTACCAGTCGCATTTAAAGCCTTTAAACGGCTTACTGTAGTTTGCGAAACGAAGGGCTTACTGTAGTTTGCGAAACGAAACGAAATGAAAATCTGTAGTTTGCGAAACGAAAATACTCTGGAGAATGCCGACTTCAAATTCAGCGTGAACAACGAAGGAGAAGACGTCAACAAGAATCCGCGGAGCAGAAGGAACATCGCTTAGCACAGCGAAGGCAACGCCGACAACAAGAGACAGAGGAATAGGAGATTGGAATCAGAGGCATTATGATCGTTTACACTGTCGAAAACCCAGATTTCTTAGTTTGCCGGCTTCCCCGCCGATATATAGATCAAAGTCTGCAAAATTCCAGCTCTGTATTACGGCCCGAAGAATAATAATTTTCGGGCGAACTTCACCGGGCCATATTTGTTCTTTGTTTTTTTCTTTTCTAAATCCGGATGCTAAATGCAAAATCTGCTTTTCAATACACTGTTAACAATAACACCACATAATACGCAAAAAAGAAGAAGAAGAAAAGAAGGATGACAATCTTCGCGGTGGGTCACCCATCCAGTTCGTAACCCCGACCGACAGGGCTTAACTTGAGCGCTTGAGCTTATAAAGTTAAACTTTTCTGGGCGAAACAGCTATTTTGGGGGAATTTTCTGTTTAGAATATCCGAGTAGACGCAACGAGAATAGACTACCAGCAGTCCCCCATTTTTCCTACAACTACAGATTTTCATTTCACAAACTACAGATTTTCATTTCGCAAACTACAGATTTTCATTTCGTTTCGTTCCATTTCGTCTTGTTTCGTTTCGTTTCGCAAACTACAGTAAGCCCATTTAAACTTCCTGATTTTATTTTGCAGACATCCGTCTTACGTCATGCTTGTACCAAAATGGCGGCCTTGATGTCGGTCACGGGAGAAGGTCTTGCAGAGCGAAGAAGGCAGTCTTTTTTCTGGAATTTTTGTTAGCTAGTGCAGAGATAATTGTAAGGACGCAAGTAAATAAAACTGATTAAGTATTATTGTTAATAAAATGAATGTAACATCGTATCCTTGTGCAAGTTCCTTCCCGTACCCTCACTCGTTGTTATTTAAGAAATACTCGAGATATTTATTAAATAACAACGACTTGGACCGGGTTTGGAAGGGTAGGGTGGGTGGATAGAAGTCTACGACAGTTTCTTATGTCTGCGGCTATTCGGTAAATATTCCATGTTTTTGTTGTATCGTGTTTTATTTTGCAATTTTGCAAATAGTGATCAATTCTGTAAAACTTTTTTTAGGCTTAATTAGTTGTAAATGCTGTAACATTGTATTTTTCCTTTATTCTCTTGTACGTTGTTTTTATTTTTCCTTCATGTAAATGTAAGTATTGTCATTAGAAGTGTTGTAACCAATAAATGTTATTTAAAAAATATATATATATTCCATTTTTAAAAACTGAATGGCGGTAAATTCGAATACGTGGATGGATCTTTTTACTAAGAAATTCACAGATTTTTCTTGTCATGTGTTAAGGGTTGATGACATCGTGATAGTTTCAAAATCATATGTTGTCGTCACCACTTGGACCTTATTAAGCAAACAAAAGGTTTTGGAACCACTTCTATGACAAGAAATCTTAAAGGTATATATCAAAATTTACTTTTTACTGAGCATTCATATTTAATATAAATTTTAATGGCTCAAGGATGAGAACTACGGAACAACTTAATTAATGCATGGAGAATAATTAAGTTCAAAATCACTGCTTCTACATTTGTATAACTTGAAATTATTTTTTTTTGTAGGAGGGACTATTGAAATCAATCAGGGTCGGCCAGGGGGGGGGGTGGGGGGTAGTGGTACACCAGTATACCCGATAAAAATTCGCCAAAATACCCAAAATTATACCCAGGTTACATACATGGTTACTCCCATGTATGCACTATATGTCACTCAACAGGGTTTGCTTGTTGTCTCTCTCACCGAGGAACAGGGTATGAAAATCACCCTTTCTTTCTGGATCAGTGGGGTTGTCCCTAAGACTTCAAGTTTCTGTGTCCGGGTAAATACAACAAGTACACGGGGAATCAAACAGCTAGGGATTTATTTTGGTTCTGTTTCTATTTTTTCAATGAAAGTAGTCGGGGGCCACTGATTCATAGTTGCTGGGGGATATCCCGGCCCTCGGCTCTTTGACAGCCCTGGATCAGGGACAATTTTTTCGCAATCCCTGATTATTCTTGATCAAGCTTAGGAGCAACACCCAACTCCCTCTTTCTTTTTGTATAATTATTATTGTCGGGAACAGGGTTGTAAATTCAGCACACTCCAGAGTAAATTTAAGAAAGCACTCTCGGGGGGGTGGGGGGCCTGAATAGTCTAATAGTGACCTCTTTTTATAATTGGACAGGTTTGTGCAGAGAAATAAAGTTCAAAACCTGTTAACATGAAGTGGAAGTGCCTTAAAAATAAGATTGCACTGTAGAAAATTTAATTTCTGATTAGGCAGCCTAAAGCCTTAGACCTCCAGATTTACAGAGAAGTTAACATGCAAAACTTATAGAAATAATTCATTTATTAATAAACGTATATGATATTTTATTAGTTTTAGAGAGCTGGATTAATGCAACAACAGAGTAGTAAAGAAAGTGAACGAACTGGTAAAAGATGGTGTCACTAGTGTTGCAGAGATGGAGAGCCATCTAGGCTTCTACATAAAAAATGGTGCTTTATGATAGTTTTGCCTCTGCCAGATCCCTGGGAACTGCTGATTCTTTCCCAAGAGATAATGGCATACCGGTATATAACATCATGTACAGGGCAGGGCCTCCATACAGATGTGTCACTCCAAAATTGATCAAGAGGAATTGGCCCATAAGATTGCTGAATGGCTACAAGAATCCCCCCAAGACATATTCTTTTTGCGACCAAGTACAAAGTCTGCATCAGACATTTTTGAGTCAGCACAAGAAGGAGGGGGGGGGGGTATAAGCGGGGTAGGAATACCGCAAAACCACACAGAAATACGTAAAAACACTGCACAGAACTATGTAAGAAAACTACAAACCGCAATACTGCAACTTAATTAAAATAAAAATTCCAACAAAACCGCACCAAAAATCGAGCAAAACTACATCACCGCAAACCCTTACACCCCACTCAAAATGTGTTACAGGAGGATGAGATCATGGCAGCTGAATGATGGAGACTTATATGCTGACAAACAGTCAACTGATCTGCTGTGTGTTCACCAAACCCACTGGTAGAGAACACTACGTGAAAAAATATGGCAATGAAATTTGCCTCTTTGATGCCATCTACAAAACTTCCTGATATGCACTTCCTCTATTCTTTTGTGTGTCAAAACTAATGTCAATTACTGTGTTGCTGGGTCATTTGTCATACAGCGAGAGACCAGGCAGGCAATTGCTGAAGCACTTGATGTGTTACGTGAGTGGAACCCACAATGGTCGCCAAGATTTTTCATGACTGACTTCAGTGATCCTGAAATAAAAGCAATCAAAGAAGTTTTTAAGCTTGAGTTTTAAAAGTGCTGGAAAAAATTAATTTGTTAGGGGGTGTTTACATGAGAAAACTTGCACCGGCGTGAGTTTCACACTGGGATGACTTTTTTATTTTGTATCGCGTTTACATGATGACTGGGTCATTTCATATCTTGTTATTTAAAGGTACATTTCATGTTGATAAAATACACGTGTGGTTCAAAATCGCAAACATTATGCATGCTCTACCCGTTCCAGTCTATCGGCAGACCGATTTCACACTGAAACGGGTGGTCGTTTCGTGTTTACATAATACTGTTGCGAGATTTCATACTGGAGTGAAATTCTCGCCCCTGTACGAGAACCAGGGTGAACTCACGCTGGGGTGACTCACATCGGCATAACATTTTGTGGTGGTATCATGCAAACAATCCAGGGCAAAAGTCACCCCGGTGTCATGTAAACACCCCCTAACATAACAAACTTGAGATGTTCATTCAGAATAGTTTATTTAGGAAGAGAAAAGTTCCACAATAATCTCTGAAATCCTGAAAAACTAACCCCCTACCCTATCCATCAGGCATTTTTTCCCTAAGAGAGTAAGTTAATGCCAATGTTGGGTTAAGGGTGAGTGAGTAGTTACCCAGCTGCCGGCAGTCCTGTCTTCTCTGTAAATTTCACAAAAACCCAGCTGATCCAAACTATCATATGTCGACTAAGAAAAGTGAAGCGATTCTGAAACACTTTATAGATCTCAAATTCAGCGCTAATGGTTTACGCTGGGCTCAGAAAAAAAAAGTTTTAAGACACTTAGAACTTTTTGTAGGTCAACTGCCGGTCAAGGTTTTCAAGATTCGCTGGATTTTTTCGATTTGTCAAATTTACTGAGAATATAGCACTGCCGGGTCATTTAGTGTTTTGAAAATCTTGAACATAGGAAAAGAGACTTACAAAACACAAGTGCTACCTACTTGTTTAGTCGAGTTTCCTTCTTCAAAAGGAAAATAAATAATTATTAACATAAAATTGTTTCACTCCTTCCTTCTACTTACACTTAATTAAGTAAGCTTGTGGTTATTGGATGAGGTTGTTGCAAGGTTAGGTATAGTCAAGGTCGATGTTGCCACAGATTAGTCAGTTATCGGCCAGCAAAACTAACTAATCTGTCAGAAGGTTGCATTGATTTCCAAAATTAACTGTGGGCTCAGCCAATGATAAGACAGATATTAAATACGATGTACAAAACAGAGAATTTCATATCTTTATACATTCAGATTGTATGTTTATATCTTGACCAAGAGACTTCAAGTTAATAAAAACATATGGTGAGTTTCTCAGATATTTTCATGTGATATTAAAGCCCTTGATTCTCAAACCTGGTTCAGGTCGTTGTGGTTAGTATAACAACGACCTGAACCAGGTTCACTCTCAATTTGTCAAATACATAGACTTTGAAGCAAATATAAATTACAGAATCATAACAGCAAAGTCATGGATGGATTAGGAGAAACATTCCTTTTTTTTTCGTTCAATCTCACCTTTTTGAAACCTGTGAAACTTCACAGCTCTTTAACACTACGTAGGTGTTTATAGTGTAATAATAATAATATATAGTAAGATATAATAACTATGTTTAGGTACATAATAATAATCATATATGAAGTACCTACCTCGCGCATGGGCAAGACCGCATGACTTTTTCGTATCGCAGGCTCAACCTGGTCTCGGTCGTTAATGTCGTTTAATAATGTCGGTTCGTGGGCTTTAGTTATGCTTTTAGTTTTGCCTGCTCTTAATCATCTTAAACCGTGCGAGCGAGATATGTATTGAGCAATACTTTCTTAATGTGGTGCTTGTCATTCGAAATTTTAGCCAAAATGAACCTTATTAGCAGCTTTTAGAGGTAGATTTGACCTCCATTCCGTGCTGTTTACCCTGCTAGCAGAGTCGCTTCGATCTTTCCTAGATGAGTCGGGAAAGAGGAAGCGACTCTTCTCGACTTCCTCTTCCCAACTTATCTAGGAAGATCGAAGGAGATTCTGTTCGCAGGGTAGTGCTGTTTAGCTTTTATGTAAAATTCGTAAGGTCATAAACAAATGTTGGCCCAAGTCTTCAAGTCTTCAAGGCAGTACTGGTAAGTTTTCATCAGCTTGTATCGATTTCTGGATTCAGTTAATTACTCACTTATAGCTATAAGTTATTAAATTTAGTTTGTTTATTGTATTTTGATTTGCAATGCTGTGCGTACAATATTTTCGAGGTAGATTTAAAGCGTTTCAATTCCTTTTTGCATTGTCAACGTCTAATGGCTTAATTAAAATAATGCCGGTCCTCTAGTATGTAATAGTTGCATACACTTAATTCAAGTTCGATTCGCTTTGATTTGAATATAACAAATACGTCACTATTTTTTTAAAAAGGCATTGGGACCTTTCAATATCAGTGTCGTACATCATTGCACACACATGTATCTTCTGAAGAGCTTTTAGCTTTAAGTTAAAACTTTGAAACTCCCACTAATTTATTGCATTTGCAATGTATTTCGAGAAAACACGGAAAATAAAGGCAGACATCTCTTTCTGCTAGACCAACACATGTCAATCATCTGACCTTGTGTTGAGTAAATTTAAAGTCAAAGAACTTTGTTAGTACTTGGGGTCAACTAACTTTATTGTTTCTGTGAGCCGATGTTTTCATCATGAAAATTGCATAGATTCGCTCAGTCATGTCATGTAGATTTTGAGTTAAACTTAAATATTCTTAAAACATTTTACTATAGCCAAAAAGATGCTATTTCCTGAGGTCATAAATAATCTCTGTTAAGTTTGTTTTAAGCTGTATTTTGTTTTTCAAAGAACTTCGGAAAGTTTTGAAAACTTTTAGAACTAATGCTTTTGTGTTATTATTTTCTCGAATTGTTATTACTGTTTGTGTTGAGCTACAGGTTATACTTGGAACTGAATATATCTAACAATTTATTACCCCTATCACTGTTCAACAGCTCAATCTTATTATATGTTTAAAAGACATATTGAACCATCCTTTTTTTTGTATGTGCAATATTAATATAACAGTGCTTTTTTAATATTCACTTTTTGTTAGTCTGGTCACCAATATCAATTTTGTTTGCCTTAGTCATGCAATGTTGTGTATGAGTTAAACTATGAAATTGTGCTGCCAAATGATTTTTGTTGCTATGTAATGATTAAAACGTACCCATTTTTGATCATTATAATTTCCTTCTCTCTTATATGCTTTGGGCAATTCAGAGAACTGTTTTTCAACTTCCTTTAATCTGCATAATAATTGAATGCAATGCAATAATGAATACCTTTGCACTACTGGATTGATTGTTCACTAACTTTTACTAGCAAGTTATAATTTTCACCAATCTTTTGAACAACTGTAAAGATAGGGATATACATGTCAAAATTAATCTGCAAATTGAAATAAGATGGAATTTCTCTCCAACATAGGAATACTTCATTGTTTTTATTCCATTGAATTTCCTTTTGTCGGTGCTTTTGTTTTCTCAGTTTGCTTTAAAATTACTGTTCTTTGGAAATTACTAAATTTTCTACTAGCTACAACCTCAGACAAAACTGGTCGAGGCAGATTGGAAAAATCACCTCCTTTTCCTTGTCATCCTGACCAAAATAATAAAAAAAGTAATCATTGCTGGATGAATTGACATTCCATCTCTTGCAGTGGAAAATAGGGTTTTGAAATAATGGTAACCTTGTTCAGCTAGTTTTCATCCTAGTATTACATACAATTGAAATATAGATGGAACTGTCTCATGAATTTTGTCTAAGGTGTAATATTCCTCCCAATTATGTGAATTATAACTGGACTTAGGTTTGTTGTATCCATTATTTCTTAAGTGAAAGGAAGAAATATCCTTTAGCTACCGTCAAAATGTCTATAAATTATGCAAAGATTGTACAGGGTCCATTAATTTTTATAGTTAATGTCCAACTGTTGCTTTTTTATAATTAGTGTCTGAGCCACGAGATGTCTCAAGTGATAGGTTCATCTTGTCAAAGGTAAGCATTTTACTTCACTGACAAAGCTGTCACTTAGCTGCACAAACATGACTTTTCCAGAGGTTATCTTGACCTGCATTTCATCCTCTTTTCTTTTGCTCGGCATGATAACAGATAGCGAAAAAATTCTTCATAAATGTTGTAACTACAGTTGACTCACAATATCTTGAACCTTCAAGGGAAATTGAAAAAAGTTTGATTTAGCGGGAGTTCAAGTTATCGGGAGAGTGAAGCAAATACTGTAACCATAAAGGAGGAAATGAGTTGGGGAACGAATACAAGTAACATGCACACTTCAAAATGTCTTGATAAATTCACAGACTGCTGGACACCGTATTTAAACTGGACTGACAAAAATGTAAGACAACGAATACATGGTTGTTAAAATAATTTCAATGTTTCCGACTGTAGTACACTTTTTTCCACTTGTCACTTGGCGTTGTAATCTGCCAAACGAAATGAAATTATAATACTTGTTTACCTGTGTATATGTTGTGGTTCAATTTTATCCTTGGTTCAAATTTTTTTCCTTTGTTTCAAACTCATTATCACATAAATATTACCATAGCCAAAAACAAAGGAGAATAAAATTTAAACCAAGGACAAAATTGAACCACAACATATACATTCATTTTCGTATTCCTTTTTCATTTCATTCCATGTTTTAGGGTCATGCTGCCCCCATCCTGTATGCGGCATGGGCAGAGGCTGGTCATGAAAAATTTCCTGTCTCAGAACTTGGGAAACTGCGGACATTTGGCTCTGATCTGGAAGGCCACCCCACCCCTGTGAGTAACCTGTTTAGTTTTGCTCATGTTATGTGGTCAAATAGCCTGCGAACGGCAGACGTTTCTCCTCTCTCATCGTGGCTGAGAGACGTTTCGCGAGGAGGAAAGTCTGCGACTCAGCGACAGAAATTCCATACTGATGACGCAAAATCCGTCCGGAATCCGGTCAGAAGCGCTAATTGGTCGACGGAGTAGTTTCATTGTTTTAGCTATTGTTTGTGAATGACAGACAAAAGACAAAAGGCCGTAAAGGTCAAATGTAAACACGATGAACCTCTTACAAAACAGTCAATATTTGTGGAATATAGTCTTCTCCAGCAGAAGCATTTGAGTTTTTCTGGAGCTCATTCGCAGATGAACACAACACTTTACCAAAATCGACCAGGAGAAACGGAAAATTGAACAAATTTGCGTTTGGAACCCCATGACTACCGGATTTGTTATGTAAACATTGATTTATGTCTTCGGTATGGAATTTCTGTCGCTGAGTTGCAGACATTCCTCCTCGCGAAACGTCCCTCAGCGGCGATGAACGAGTAGAAACGTGTGCCATTCGCAGGCTAGTGGTCAAAAGTCTCAGGCGTCTCTTCTGTGGAGAAAGGACTTTTGTCTCATGAGGCAAGATTCTCATCTAGAGAAGAGAGTTTTGTCTTGAGAGAAGGGGGCAACGAGGCTTGTGCCTCGGGAGGGGGTGGTAACTTACTTTTAAGCGTTACTGTACTTTGACTTGCACAAGGATTAAAAATATATGGAATTCTTATGAAGAGATTTTTCTGAATATAATTGATGATAGATGTGTTGGATAAATAAGATTATTTCTGATGAACGATTATAAGTTTAGTTGATTCCCTACACTACTCGTCGCATTGGCCACGTTGGAGGTTGAGGAAAATGACTGCATTTGGGTGGTGGTCGCACGTGGCTGCTTTAGTGGTTAAAACATGGATCAATATAAATATAACCACAGGACAAACATATGTTTGTTTGTTGGTTTTTTTTTGTGGAGTCATCAGGCCACTTTTATGTAGAGAGTTGACCATTATAGTAAAGGTTCAACTTTAAACACAGTATGAGTATAAAATTTTTTCCCCTAAAGGAAATTTTGAAGACCCAGGTTTCCATAAGCTCCTATTATAGATTGGTGTAATAGCTGTTAAAAACTGAGAGTTCCAGAGAAGTCTATTAAATTTTATTTAGAGGAACTTGTTTGTCAGAGCAAAATGACTGCCTTTGCCTTTCATCTTTGTATATACGCCTATTTCAATATTAAGGTTACTTCAGAGAAGAATGATGCATGATGCATGGTCCATGTTTCATAGCCCGCAGTGCATTATTGTAGCAAGGCTAGGGCCCGCAACGAGCCTAGAAACCTAGAAAGCAAATGCTGCTGACGCTTGTATGCTATGTCAGCAGAACGTTAAGACAATGGATTTCAAAGGAATGAATCCTAGGCTTTTAATTTAAGACAGTGATCTGACGTTAGGTCTTTCTCTCTGGTAATATGCAAATGCTGCAAATTTTCAATGAGTTTGCTTGGCTCGTGCACATGGAAATTTTGGATGGAGTTAAAAAATAAAATCTAGGCATTTGTTGAACTACAATGGATAAAACTTAACATTACGTGTTTATATCTTTTTTTGAGGCAATTTTTTAAAAACTGAATTTAAAAAAAAGCGTTTTTAGTTTGCTTTACTGAAATAACCAGCATTCTGGCCCATGCAAAAATGCAGCTTAATCAGGCGGTAAAACCCTATTCATTTGATGTTGTTAAAAGAAGAGGCTTCTAATTTTTTACTCTGAGATTTTAAAAATGAAATTGTTCAGCTCACTCATGCTTAAGAATAATATTTTAGCAGCCATTTGACTTGAAAGCTTTCTAGAACGCCTTCTCACCAATGGTCTTCATTATTTCAATAAACATGAACAAGACTAAACTTCCCCTTACAAAAGGGTTTACCCATAGTGCACTGCAGGCTATGAAACATGGTTCATGGGAGCAATGTTAGTGCTGTGCACATCAGTGCTGTTGCAAAGTACCATAGCCTTTGAGAAATGTAAGGACATTAGTTTGACATATATGGTTTGATCCAAACCTATACTTGCTTTCTGTATGAAAATTATTCTGAAATAATTCTACATGTAGTTAATTGTTTATAATTATTAGAACTTAGAACAAGAATTCACAAAGAAAGCAGGAAGGGCTGTACACGTATGTCAAAATAAGGTCTATCCAGCCTCGCTTCAATCAACTAACTTGTAAATTGGGTCAATTAAATATGATGTTTATGTTTTCTTTCCCAGCGATTAGACTTTGTTGACTTTGCCACGGGCTCACTGGGCCAAGGCCTTAGCTGTGCATGTGGTATGGCGTACACTGAGAAATACTTTGACAAAGCAAGGTGAAATTTTATATTATTTGATATGATTTGACATTTATTTTTTTGATATATGAATTATTCATTTGGGATCTTTTGGAGCAAATTAAAGGGTCTATTATGGGTTACTGGCCAAGTGCCAAGTTTTCTGTATATCTGTTGAGTTAAGGTCTTTATAATTTATCTATTTATTTTTTATTTATTTGGCAGAAAAAAACATATTTACATACAGACATCAGTGTATTACAAAAATGTTAGGTTAAAAGATTAAAGAGATGTAAATTGTAAGTAAAAGAATTAAAATAATTTTTCTAGCAAGGAAGATCAAAATGAAACCTTGAGATGCAAAAACAGTACGAGGTCAATGTTCAACCATCTTGACCAAACAGTTTTCAATGATGATGATGATGATGATGATGATTGTAACTAATTGCTTAAGCTGAGAGCATTGTTAATAAGTACAGCTGTAGTTGCCTTGATGACGTAATAGTATTGTTTCAGAAACATGCCACCCTGATTCTGTATGCTGCATCATCATCATCATCATCAAATTTAAATCAGGTCATTCAATAAAGTTGGAATTAGTGTCAGGATTTCAGTGTTTTCCTTATCAGGCGGTAACCGGTAAAATTTACTGTCTGAAGTAACACCTCTTACTGCCTGCAATCGCTTGAAGGTTTGCTAAAATTAAGTAAGTTGTTTTAAAGAATACCCAAGTTGTGATCCGATCCGATCAAGGTAATGAATGAACACATGGAAGTGTACTAAAGTATGCACAGGTTTTCTTTTTATGGGCCACGCATTTTGGAAAGAGCATTTGAAGGCAGAGTACAATAATATTATTAGAATCAAATGTTTTGAATTGAGATAACAACAGCTGATTTGGGTAAAATAGGACTTCAACTGAGGGGGAATGACGTTTCGGAGAACTTAGCAGTGTATACAGCGAGGTCGAAGCCATGTCCTTCACTCTACTACCCCCTCCTCAGGAAAGTGCACACATATTTTTTGCCTTACCGGCAATGAATGGTCCCTTACCTGCTGAGCTAAAATTTAGGGAGATTGCTGGGAGTTACGTACATGTATCATTAGAAGCAGCTTGATCATTTACTCTTCTGCTCAGATGTGACGACCTTATTTTTATTTTCTCAGCTACCGTGTATTTTGTGTTATTGGTGATGCTGAAGCTGCAGAGGGCTCAGTCTGGGAAGCTATGAATTTTGCAAGTCATTATAAGCTTGATAACTTGTGTGCTATCTTTGATGTCAATCGTCTTGGACAAAGTGACCCCACAATGCTGGAGCATGACTTTGATACTTACAAGAAAAGAACTGAGGCTTTTGGGTGAGTTCAGTGAATAAAATATCAATGCAATTAGAAACTTAAAGTGTAGTCACGTGCAAAAATGTAATTTTGGTTTTTGTTTAACCCATTCGCCCCTGAACCGCCCGTAACCGCCCGTGCGGATCCAGGTCCTTTCTACCCTTTGTGACGTCATCAGTTTTAACGGTCAAGGACAACTTTCTTCGCACACGTGTGCAGAGTGAAGAGATCTTTCAAACCATACCAGAATGAGCACAATTCAGTCAAGGACACCGGAGAAAGAAGCAAAAAACCACGTGACAAGGACCTGAAAATCTCCATGAAAATCTTGTACCATTACCCACCTACCTTTCCTTTCACCTAATCCTAAGATCCTAAAAGCTTTCCTAAAAACTCTTCCCACCAAAATGAAGCCTACTAAATGCCCAGCAAGAGAAAAAAAAAATGAGGCAAGAAAAGCAAAAAAAGAAGGGAGGAGAGAAAGCGAAATGCGCATGCCCGAACTTCGCAAGCTGATATTTTGCATCTGGATCAGAAGGCTGCCAAGTGTACAACCTGTAAACCGGTTTGTGGTAAGTTGTAGCTCTTTATAGCACGACAGTGACCAGAAAACCACTCGACTAGCTTCAAAACGCGTTTTTGGGCAAAATCTCCAGGAGCGAATGGGTTAATTGCAAAATAATCCTTATAATATCATAGGTGACGAATTACTTCTTAATTTTGGCGCGAAATTTCAGCGTTAATTTGTAATTTCACATGTGAAATTACAAAATTGCCATGGCAACCCTCCGTACATCTCAGTGTCAAGATGGCGACGAAGTTTTAAAATGCCGTGAATGGAGATGTCAGGGCTCAAAAAGACGCTTTAGAAAACCTGAACACACAAGAGAACATCAAGAAGGATTCTAACAGGAATTTTGCCGAAATAGTTTGAAAAATTCTGAGCTTTATAAGCCAAATTTAAGGTCTAAACATTTGACAAAGTGGAGTTCTCAATCGATAAGATCCAGGATAAACATGTCAAAAATCCAAGATTGCTAACGTAATTCGTCACCCATGATATTAATAGGTAATCAAATGGTATACTCGTGAAATTATTCTCTAATTTCACTCGTCAGCATTTGATTACACATACCAATTTAATATTGAGTATTCAGGCCTTCTGAATTTCAAAAACTTAATCAATTTGTGTGCTTAGGAGGAAGCCATGTCCCTGTTGTCATTTTACTTCCTTATTATAGTAGGGGTGTAACGATTCATATTCCTTGCGATTTGATTCTATTTTGGTGATTGCTTTTTGATTTCGATTATTTCTTAATTCTTATAACATAATGCGTTAACAATGTAAACAGCATGCAACTTTTAATGCGTAATTTGAGAATAGTAACAGGGACAGGAGTATTCACTGTCGCTTGCTCGTTTGTTGCCAGGTTTGAGAACCTGACAAAGAGTGTGTCACGCACATGGCTTGCCTTATTTTAGCCTGCATAGGAAGCGTTTCCAATCGCGAAAGTTAGAGCGGGAGCAAAAAAAAAGGTGGAAGGGGGACAGAGGGAGGGGAGAAGAGGAAACGCTTGCCCGCAAACCCCACAACTCGGGAAAACACCCCTTGATATTTCACGGTTCGGTTCATTTGTAAATTGACAGCTTATCAAAATAGAAGTACCGGTATAATGAGAAGATTACCCCTGGATTACCAGTTTTGTAAAATTACTTTGTTCTTTAATAAAATACGTTCCAGGCAATTGCAAATACTGTAATAAAAAAGGTTTACGATAAAAGAAGGTTGTAACTCTGAGCGACTGCTGTGGAATTTCTTGTTTTTTTGTTGTGTGGCTTTATCTCGTCTGAAACCTTGTTGAAACATCAAAAATGATTTGTCGGGCACAATTCACTCCGCCAGTCATAAGTTTTGCAGAGCGGCTGCTCTTCAGCCCTTGTCAAAAAGTTCTCTACAGTACATGCCGCTAAATTTCCAGTAAACAAAAGAATCTTTTCATTTCAAAAAGCTGACAAATCGCTTGTCCACGGCTTTAGCTAGTGTTGAGTACCGATGTTCTAATTTACGTTGATGTTATGTCCAATAAACAGTCCATTTTTTCCAGTCTGATCCGCACTCCGTCATTCCCAATACTGAAATTGGCCTTCCCTAGTTTTCACTGCTCGATCTCCAATAATACCTTGAATATTCTGATCTCAGAAACTTTCGCACAAACACGATTCAAACAAATATCAGTCCAAAGCATTTTGTAATCTGCGACCACAATTTTGATGAGACCAAATCTGTGACGCACGTAAACAAAGCATACCTGGTTTGATTGTTGTTTCGATTGCTAAGTAATCAACACTACCAGCACCACACCAATCAGAAGCTGCATTTCTGGGTGAATGAGTTTTTCAAAATCGTGGGGTTTGCGGGCAAGCGTGTCCTTCTTTCCCCTCCCCCTCCTCCTCCCCCGTCATTCCTTTTTTTTGCTCTCGTCTCGATGTTCTCGACGAACTCGCACGGAAACGCTTGCTATGCACTCTAGCCTTATTTGGAAATTTTAAAGGCATTTTTACCCGGCAACCCAAAATGGCGCATGAACTGCTGTCATCTTAAAAAAAGGCACATTTTAAAGAGTTCTGGATTTTGATTTAACAATATAATAACAGACTGAGAGCACCCTTTAAAGGGTATGCAAAAATCGAACCAAAATCAAAACGTAGAAACAAAGAATCGTAAATCAAACCAAACGGTCATAATCATGATTAATCTAGAATTCGAATTCGATCATTACACCAATATTTTATAGGCTCTGTGAAATGAAGGTATTGGAATTTAATGTGACTTAATTATTAATGCAAAACTAATTGGGAAACAACTTTAGAATAAAGGAAATTATGATACCATTTCAAAATGGAGGACATTCGTCAAGAAATAAAACTAATTGTTGGCTCATGGGCACAACAGGAATGAAGTACAGTTTAGCATATAATTCGAATTGGAAACTTTTTTTCTGCTACTTTCCGCAAATGTATGAAGGGAATCAAGCAAAGAAATCTAGCTACTTTGAGGGTTCTTCCAAATTATTTCACTGATACCTCTTTCTTAGGTATCAAGAATATCTGCAGTGTATCGAGACCTTGGGACCAAAATACTTGTAATTAAGGTCGCAGAAATTAACGCTGTACTTAACTAATATATGGCACAAAAATTAATGTGTATAAAAATTAATGCAAATTTTTGAAATTCACATTTATTTCAATCGTTGCTGTCACAGTTCAACCCATCTTTGTGCCATTTGTCACCATATTTCAGCTGTCTTATGTTGCTGTTTCAAGGCCATGTGCTTTTTGGAGTTTTACCCTAACATGGCCTCTATACTGGTTTTAATTTTTCTAGCTGGAACACCCTTGTAATAGATGGTCATGATGTTGAAGCAGTCTGCAAAGCATTTTATGAAGCCAAAACAACAAAAGGTCGTCCAACAGCTATTCTGGCGAAGACGTACAAAGGAAAAGGTGTTGAAGGTATGGTAATAGGCCATATATATGCTCTAAGAGGTCATGTGACATCACTTTTATGAGAATGAAAGTTATATGATTTTGCCTTGGAAAAACGATTAGTTGATCATGTCTTAAACAAAATAAGAGTGATTTGGTGTTTCAAACCTGTACCATTTTCTTAAAATGAGTAATTTCCTTCGTAGCTGGTCACGTGACCAAATGTCATTTTTAAAACCATGAATTACCTCTTTCTGAACAATGTTGCACGTCAAGGAAAATAATTTTGAAACGATGATGTGGTAACATTTAGAGCACATCTGTGCGTAACTATCAAACATCTAACAAGATATAAGCAAAAAGTATTTTTTGCCACCATGTTGGAGGGCAAGAGCATGCCTCCAACATGGTGGCCAATCATACTACTTTAATTTGTTGAAAAATGAAAGTGCCATAAAATATCTCCCTTACATGTGTTTCCTCTCAAATGTCGGTTGTAAGATAATTTTTATGTGCTCTGTCAATTTTTGGCATCAGCAAGATTCCAACTCATTGTTTAAAGGAAGCATTAGTCTTTTGACCTCTTAGTGCAAGTGTCCTATTGAAATTCTCTCCCCTTAACACTTGCTGTTGGCCTATTGTAGTTGCAAAACAGGGTAAAGTTATCTGGCTCAGGTTACCCATTCCAAACTTTTGCCCCCACCTTCCCCTTAAGTCAAAGTTAAGCAGTCTGTTAAAGTGACAATGACTGTTTCATGAAGAGTTCATGCTTTAATCAGGTTCCTCCAGGACATTCTGTCCTTTGCTTGCTGCCTCCAAGTATCTACTAAGACTTCAGGCCAGGGTTCTTTTCACGATGTCCTTGAATCTTTGCCTAGGCCATCCTTGAGTTCTCTTTCTATCTCTTCCCCTTTGGTGACCCACAATCTTGTGTAGCTAGAAGCCTTTTAGGTTCTTTTCTTAGTGGGAAGTGAGGATAAAAGTGCGGGGGAAGGTTAGGTCACAGTCTTCAAGTGGTTGTAATTAATCCAGTGAAGTGGGTCAATAGATTTTGCTTCATAATGATTGTTTTTTTTTGTCAGAAAATTTGAAATAATTATATTTTGTATCTTTGTGCCATTTTATTGTTCAAATGTTTCTCAATATATATTATTATGTCTATATTTGTAGATTCCTAGCCAGCCAAATTTATCGCAGTGGTACGTGTAAATACATGTTTAGTCATCATTAGCAACAACAACAACATATTATCCATATTTAACACGTCTAAAAAAATTTGGGGGAACAATCTTTGGGGCAAAAAGCCCATTTGTTTATTCCAGTAGACTGAAGACTCATTTATAGAGGGTCAGCCTTGACTTGGGTAAATATATTCACAAATTCCAGTGAGAAGAACACCTGTCTACAACTCTGTATGTTGTGGAAACTCAAATTTGTGCACCATCTTACCGATATTTGTGAATATTTTACTTTAGCTTGGGGCTATAAATACCATGTACTAACAAGTCTTCAGCACTAATTTATTTAGTGGCCACGATAGATTTGAAACTGGACTATTTCCAAGTGTTTTGTTGACCTGTTTTGTAGGCGTTGAAGATTTGGAAAATTATCATGGCAAAGCTCTTGGGGACAAGGGCAAAGCAGCTGTAGAGAAGCTAAAGGAAGGACTCTCCAATGACAAACATAACCTGGGCCCGCAGCCAGTTGTTGATGATGCACCTGCTGTGGATCTGTCACCTGGAACCATTAAGCTGTCTGAACCACCAAGTTACAAAATTGGAGATAAGGTAATTAAGCCGTTCATTTCTAAAGCACCAAGTTGAATCTTTGTCCTTTGAAGAGGAAACTGGCAAAAATCCTCTCAGAAACAAGTTGTTTTATACAGTGGTGCTTCTCCAGACTTTCTTATTGATCATTGCATTTGCCAAGTATTTTTGTTTTGTTTTATTCATATGCCACTAAAACGCATTGCATGCAGACATGTACATTTTTGGGCACGGACATGCTATTGAGTGGGGTTAAATTAGTTATTCTCTTGATTCAATGCATGCAGAATAAAAATTTTATCTAGTGGTTTGAACAGGGTTCTTATTAATTTTAAAGAAGACGGCAGAGGATCTAAAAGTAGGTGGCTTGGCAATAATTGATTGCTGAAGGCAATGTCAGGCTTTCACTCAACTCTCATGACCCATTTTTCCTTTTTTTTCTGGTTCTCTAGTTTTGGTCCTTGTTGTTAGCACCAAAAATACGTTTTTCCCGAGAATGCCGAAACACTGAGATTTTCGAGAAACAAAATCAACTGTTTCTGTAGGGACCAGTCTTTAAGTGATTTGTTATATAGCTGGAAATTCATGAAACGTTGCTTTAACTGCAGTGGTCAATCAACATTCACGGGTAACAGTGCACTGTTACCCTCTTACATCATAGATTTTTGCAATGTTGCCTGCTCAGGGGTTTTGGTGGGAGAAGTTTTATTGTTAGATATCATATAACCTCGAAGTAACCATTTGAGCGTGCGATATCGGGAAGAAATTTCCAGCTATATAACAGTATAACACTGTTATATAATACTGTCAAACTTCCTGTAAGCAACCCGTAAGTGGTTGCTTTTGGGAGATGGTTCCTTACAAGAATCCAACTACTGGGGGTCGATCTTCTGTAAAGGGGTGCAGACTCATCTACTTTAATATGGAAGATAACTTATTGTATGCAATTTCCATGTTACAATATGATCAGCTCCATGTTGTCATTGAAATTTCTTAGTATACTGTGGCAGCATAGTAAATACAGTGAGTATAGATATCAGGTATAAAAAAACAATAGAAAATTCTAAAAACCTTTGCTACCAAAAGTGGTCATTGACAAGAGTTTCCTGGGGGGGACTTTCATATAAAAGAAACGGGGATGCTCATCTTCTCGCTTTGGGGTGCAAATTGCTGATTTTTGTCTCACTTTTGAAATGGATGTTTCCAACATTGTAAGCTGTGCTGCTAAAACTTTCAGCTGTGTGCCTAAAATTTTGGCAGTGTGCCTAAAAATTTACATCTTGTAGCAGAAGTGCTTAAGTTGTATCCAATGTCTTTACAGTGCGACTACTCGTACCGAGGCCACCCAGACAAAAATTTCAAAATTAATTCTTTACTGTTGGCTTTGATTCTGGCAAACCCAGACATTGTAAATTAAAAACAGTTTCAGGTTGATTTAGACAGACGTCACAATTCCTTATTTTTTATATCCTTTAGAAAAATGGTTCACAATGTATAAGTTGAACTGTCTCTGAGTACAAAATTATGCGCAATTTCATTTTTTAGATCTTGACTTGTGATTGGCTAATTTTAAAATTTGTCTCAAAATTTTGTCTGGGTGGCCTCGGTTTGTGTGGTCTCACTGTAAGATTGTTTGAATGATTCCAGTGATTCAGAAAGGTAGAATCAGCTAGTACAACAAATAACCCTTTATCCGTGCACTTTTTCAACATTCCAGGTTGCTGTGCGCAAGGCATATGCCAATGGTCTTATCAAACTGGGCAAGACTTGTGACCGGGTTATTGCTCTGGATGGAGACACCAAGAACTCCACATACTCTTTGGATTACAGAAAGGCCTTCCCTGGAAGACACATTGAGTGTTTTGTAGCAGAGCAGAACATGGTAGGAGTGGCCATGGGTTGTGCTTCTCGGGGCCGTGCCATCACCTTCACCAGCACATTTGCAGCATTCTTTACACGTACCTTTGATCACTTAAGAATGGCAGCGGTTTCGCAGACCTCAGCTAACTTCTGTGGATCTCACTGTGGCGTTTCAATTGGTATGTTTCTTTAAAGTAAGAAAGATTTTTTGAAAAAAAAATTGTAATGGGCTTTCTTTTCCCATGGGTTTCTAGTGAAGTTTCTCATGTTTGCTACTCTGTATTCTTCACTATAAGTGACTACAATACTTGTAGCCTGTTCACAGGCCCTCTATTTTTTCTTCAAAGTTCATTGAGCGCACGTGATAAAAAATAAAAACCCTGGGGGATTTATTGACCACCAAAGCAAGGGGCTAGGGGTGGGGGAAGAAGATAATAGATGGTCTTTGTTTTTCTTTCTCACACTCTGCGCTTGTTCTTGCACACTCGCCGATGTTTTCAAAAAGAACGAAAAGAAAAAAAACACAATGTCTGTGTACAGGCTACAATACTTGTCACATTTGTTGAAACACTTTCCACATTATGTCATCTCCAAAATTGGTTCATGTATTATGGGTTTGCAAATAAACAGGGCTCTCAACATTGGGGTAGAAGAGAAAAAGTATACACAGGGAAAAGTTAGAGGACAAGTCAGTTGAGAAGGCGTGACATGAAAAATCCTCAGTTTCAGTTGTTGTGTCCCTGTTCAAACTGAAATAATCTCAAATATATGGGTGGGCAGCAACATAATGTAGGGGCCAGTAACAGGCCAGCTTCCTATTCAGGTCACCAACATTTTGGTTTAAAAATAGGTACAGTGAGCTCTTGTTATTGTCGACACCCTTGCGTTAGCAAGTTAGTGTCGGCAACAGCAAAAGTAATGGTAGAAGTTCATTTCAGACAAAATCTGTGACCAATTTTTGCCCAGAATTTTGCCAAGTGCTGTCCATAGTATTGGGGCTCCTGTGCTAGCAAGGTTTGTGCAATGCTAGAGTTGACTGTGTGGGCTGCCTGTGTGAACTGTTGTTGGCTCACATTAAGCTCTACAAGAGCGTTTTGTACCTCTTGAATTCCTGAGTGAGCTTAAATGCATGGGGATTGATTTCTGCATTTGATAAATTATTTATCTTGGGTAGACCATTGAAATAAATTGAGACACTATGAAGCTGTGTACATCGGGGCACATTCTTGAGCTACATTAGGTCCGGGGGAGGGGGGTACTCCCTTATACAAGCCGTATAGGTATGTGCCGCCGGGTATAGACTTTCCCCATTTTGGTCTGGAACTGAGTATAGTTTTCGAGGGAGCTACGGTGGTGTATGAACATATTTGTCAATGGTTCCAAATGAATAAGAGATAAACCCATAATATGCAAATTCGAAATGGATTTTAAGAAATCTTCTTGTTGGCGTTCGAATCTCAGTGAACATGAATATTGTATTTTATGACGTCCTCCAAGTCTGAAAATGGGTTTGGATTCTAGAGGCCAGGTCTGAAAACGTGTGTGGAAAATGACATTTTTTGGTCTAAAATAGGGTCAGGATTTGGAGAACTGGGCGGCACACCCCCAACTAGAATTCCCAGGAGTTGCCCCCCCCCGGATTAGGTCACTTCCTTGTAAACCTACATTGTGGCATACTAACTTGAACTACAGTATTTTGGGTGACACTCTTGATCTAAATTAAGAAAAACCCTAAGACAACATTAATGTACACCCTTGAACTGTATTGGGTTATACCCTTAACCTGGGGTACTCCCTGGCATTCCTAAAATCATTCGCCGTCAACCTATGTAGAATCTAAGATAATACCTGCTTTTCAGGTGTTAATAAAATTATTGTATTTTAGTAACCATGTGGTGAAGAAACATGCTTATGTCTGTCTTAATTGGTTCATGATCAGGTGTGGACGGGCCTTCCCAGATGGCTTTAGAGGACATTGGCATGTTCCGTTCCATTCCAAACTGTGTGGTGTTTTACCCAAGTGATGCTGTCTCGTGTGAACGCGCTGTTGAGCTCGCAGCTAACTACAAGGAAATGACCTTCATCCGTGCTACTCGAGGAAATACACCTGTTGTCTACAAGAATGATGAACAATTTGAGATTGGCAAAGCCAAGGTAAGAACGGAGAGATCATCTTTTGTTTTTGAGGTGGCAGTTGTGTTGAACAATGCATGGAGGACAGCCTTTGTATGTGGTCTTTCAGTAGCATTTTAAAAAACAATATTGAAGTTCAAGCAAGGCCTTGCACTACTGTCAAAAATTAAAAACTTAAAATAGTAGCTTTTTCCCATCAATGACATTATCAGGGAAAGGAGAACAAGGGGTCAGTCCAGTTCAATTCAGGATCTGCTATGTCTGAAGGAGATGAACGCCATGAATGCCATTTTCTCAGCGCTTGACCCGTTCAGCAATAATTTCAATGCACTGGATTGTACAAGTAACGAAGTTTTGTGTTGCAGCTATAGACCTTAATGACGTTTTTGGTGTAGGTAATAGCATGATTTGAAGTGATATATTTTGGCATAAATATGATGAGCGATATTTCGAAATTGTTGTACGTAATTTCACGAGCCGTTAGGCAAGTGAAATTTGAGACAATTTTGAAATATCACAAGTGGTATTTATGCCAAGTATTACATAGAATTCATGCTATTATTTGATTATACTACAACCTGCAAAGGTTTTGTAATTTTCGCCTGGACGTATTTCAAATTAAGCTGTAATACCACTGCTCTAAGTCAATCAAATTGCAGAAATTTCTCATGTAGTAGTGTAATAGGCATAACCAAGTGTTTGTCATTTTAGAAAATAATAAAATATTGCACCTGCCAAATTTTGTAAATATGAGAATTTGAAAGAGAGCACTGCCATCACGTAATCAAAATGCAGCAACAAAAGAACCAAGCGATAAAATTGTCTCAAAAAGTCATGCACCTTACACTTCGCTGATTTACATTCTCCAAAGAAACATAGAATTATTTAAACAATACCCTCTAACTTTCATAAGACAGCATGGTTTTATTTTACTTTTTGCTCATGTTATTGCTCTAAAACGAAGCAGAAACCAATAAAAACAATTATGGAAAAGCCAGTCTGTCAAAAATAATAACTAATAAAATTATTAAATAACTAATGATAATAATAATTCTGTCATTAATAACAAAGCTGACTTTAAAATCCTATTACAATCAATTTTGCTTTAAAAAACTACTCAGTCAAAGCACTTTTTACTATTCCTTTTGATTGAATTAGTTTTGATTTTAAAAAAATTCATTCAATTAAAAAAGAATTACTAGAATTGACAAAAAGGAAATTAAATATAATAATAATAATAACTATTATTATTCATTCAAATTTTTCTCCATTTCTGATTGGGTAAAATCCCATGCATAATTCCATCATAACAAGCTATTGTCAACCAAACATGGAAGAATTTTGCGATATGTAAAAAATGATGTGAAAAGTGTAGCAAAATTGCCAGATTATTGAAATGTTAACCGAGAAGACCCGGGGACAAGGCTGTGACTAGTACATGGCAGAACATTTCACTTGTTTCAAGAGTAAGAAATGGGCGAACTATTTGCTAAAAGCATAGCAAAAACGGCAAAAGACAACTCGACAGACGACACCTGCTGTTCACCTGAACAACCCTTTATTTCCTAAACTTGCCAATAAACATGCACTATTGACGATAAACTTAACATCAATGGAGGTAAGCATGCTTTAGCTTGTTTTTAAACTAGGAATTATTTTGAATGAATAATAAAACAATTATTGAATTTGCCTTTCGTATCATCTGAAGAATTATGGATATCGAGGAGGGTGTTATCTACTTCAGCCTACCTCCTCAGCAGATAACACCCTCTTTGATCTCCATAATTCTCCAGATGATACTCAGCCTCATTCAATAATTTGTAATGAATCTTCTATTAAGCTTCCCGGGGGGCTTATTTCCTAAACCACGTTTGAAGGGGGGACTTAATAGAGAGGGGGCTTATTTAGTTTAGTAAAGATGAGGGAATAAATTCTCAATAAAACGCCAGAATGCAAAAGGCACTTAAAGCTGAAGGTCATGCAGCAAAAAATGCTACTAGCAAATATAAACTTTCAGAATATCAATAAGCCATACCGGATCAGTCCTCATGAAGTGTTAGAGTTGTGATTGAAAAATACAGTCTATCATTTAAAAAAAGAGGAAAAAGGGGGGCTTAAAGACAAGGGGGGAGGGGGCGTAATAACTTTCTTCCCCAGCAAAGGGCGACTTATCAGAGAGGTACGGAATTTAACACCCTAAGCGCCACTCACCTATCAGAAATTTAAGGGACTACACTCCCGGGCTTGAATGACTGATTGAGAGTCCTTTAGTGTTTTTTTCTACGATAAGCTTAGCTTACAGCACTCGCTTTGTTGGCTGTAGATTGTTCGTGAGAGTGATAAAGATTCAGTACTAGTTATTGGAGCTGGTGTGACACTGATTGAAGCAATTGAAGCTGCTAAAGAACTTGAAAAGGAGGACATCAACATTCGGGTCATGGATCTCTTCACCATGAAGCCAATTGACAAGGAAGCCATTATAAAGCATGCCAAGGATTGTGGTGGGAAAATACTCACTGTAGAGGATCATTATCCTGAAGGTATGTTAGGTATATAGCCCTTTAAGCCCTAAGAGTTATCAACATCAAATTTCCCCTTGTAATATCAATGCTTTGTAAAACAGAGTGGTCATGAGAATTACGGACATGATCACACAAGATGAATTTACTTTATATTTTATCGACTTCTCCCCACTTCTTCTGTGCGAAATGAATAGGGGCAACAAATGAGAATTCAAAGTTTGATCGTAGGGTTTAAAGGGTTAAAGGGGCTTTGTCACGAGGATACTACTGTTTTTGGTCAGTTCTGTGCTGAAGTCAGTACCAGATAAAGACCTAGAGATCAAGACCCTTAGATTAGGGGGGGGGGTGGTCTCCAAAAAAAATTTTCAGTCCTTTGGGCCTCAGTTTGGTCTTAAAAGAAGGGGGGCCCAGGCCTCCCGGGCCCCTCCCCTGGATCCGCCACTGGAAGTCATAGGTCAACCACAAGAACTTACTGCTCAGTAGCTTTCATTTGAATTGTTTCACCTTACAAGTTTGTCCAGACTCAAAAGATAGAGTCACCTTGCTCAGCATAGCAAGCAGTACCACAGGAAAGCAGTGCTCATTAGCTTTCATTTAAGTACTCACACTTATTTTTTTGTCTTTTGCTTAGGTGGTCTTGGTGAGGCTGTTATTGCTGTTGTGGCGAAGGAGAAGGGGGTGATTGTGGAGACATTAGCGGTGAGAGAGATCCCACGTAGTGGCCCTGGCGATGTTTTGTTGGATCAGTATGGAATTGGTGCCAGAACCATTGTCAAGACCGTCAAGAGCATGTGAAGGACATAGTCATTGGATAACCATACGTACACACTGTGCTGGTATTAAAGTTCAGTAACAAGCAAGATAAGACATTTCTTCCTCTTGTCACTTAGCATATTATAGAAATTTTGGGCTTAGATTAGAAAAATGAAAATAATTGTCATGCATTAACCCAGGTAAAGAGCATGAACATTATGTTTTAGGAGGTATAAGTGTGCATGGAGATTATCCTAAAACAGGTGTGAACCTTTTAACTTTGGACCGTTGTAATAAAAAATGTCAACAATAGTAAGAAATGCAAGGAAAATAAAATGCGTGTCGAATTAAGCAATGAGATCACGTCATAATCTTTGCTTCCTACACCTCGTCTAGCAAAATATCCACATGGGTAGTTCAACCCTTTAAAATATGATTCAAAAACATCCTGAGAGTTTTTTTGTAAAAAACAATGTCATATTTTTAAATCTTTTTATTTCTTTTTGATCAAAAATTTCACCATTTTAATTTAGAGAAAAAAAGGCCAGGAAAAAGTGTTTCACAATATTCTAGAAAGAAAGAACGCCTTTAAAGACTATCAAAATAAGAACTTAAAAAGATCCAAATATTGGGATTTTTCCAAACAGGTTAGTCCATGGTTTTGGTCAAAAATTGCTAATTTTTCCACCTTTTTATTTTAACCCAAAAAAAAAACACGAAAAGGTGTCTCACGATATTCTAAAAAGAACGAACGCCTTTCTAGACTATAAAAATAAAAAGTTAAAAACGTCGAAAAACTGGGATTTCTCCAAAGCGGTTACTCCATGGTTTTAGTCCAAAATGACCCATTCTTTCCATCTTTTTATTTTAGGCAATATAGGCAACGAAATGTGTTTTACGATATTCTAGAACGAAAATACAAAAAGTCAAAAAATTACGATTTTTCAAAAGGGGTTAACCCATGGTTTTGGTCCAAAAATGGCCGTTTTTCCAACTTTATTTTTGTAGCCAATATAGGCCACGAAAATGTGTTGTACGATATTCTACAACAAAAAAACGCCTTTCTAGGCTATAAAAGCAAGAAGTTGAAAAAGTAGAAAAATTGAGACTTCTACAAAGGGGTTAATCCATAGTTTGGTCAAAAAATAGCCATTTTTCCAACTTTTTTTTTTAGGCAATATAGGTCAGCAAAATGTCTTTTACGATATTCTAGAACGAAAAACCGTTTTTCTAAGCTATAAAAACAAGAAGTTCAAAAAGTCGAAAACTTGACATTTTTCCAAAGGGGTTAACCCATAGTTTTGGTCCAAAAATGGCCATTTTTCCAACTATTTTTTTTTTAGGCAATATAGGCTAGGAAAATGTCTTTTATGATATTCTAGAACGAAAAAACGCCTTTCTAGGCTATAAAAACAAGAAGTCCAAAAAGTCGAAAAATTGACATTTTTCCAAAGGGGTTAACCCATGGTTTTGGTCCAAAAATGGCCATTTTTCCAACTTTTTTTTTTCAGGCAATATAGGCTAGGAAAATGTCTTTTATGATATTCTAGAACGAAAAAACACCTTTCTAGGCTATAAAAACAAGAAGTCCAAAAAGTCGAAAAATTGACATTTTTCCAAAGGGGTTAACCCATGGTTTTGGTCCAAAAATGGCCATTTTTCCAAGTTTTTTTTTTTAGGCAATATAGGCTAGGAAAATGTCTTTTATGATATTCTAGAACGAAAAAACGCCTTTCTAGGCTATAAAAACAAGAAGTCCAAAAAGTCGAAAAATTGACATTTTCCCAAAGGGGTTAACCCATGGTTTTGGTCCAAAAACTGCCATTTTTCCAACTTTTTTTTTTTAGGCAATATAGGCTACGAAAATGTTTTTTATGATATTCTAGAACGAAAAAACGCTTTTCTAGGCTTTAAAAACAAGAAGTCCAAAAAGTCAAAAAATTGACATTTTTCGAAAGGGGTTAGCCCATGGTTTTGGTCGAAAAATGGCCATTTTTCCAAGTTTTTTTTTTTTTTTAGGCAATATAGGCTAGGAAAATGTATTTTATGATATTCTTGAACGAAAAAACGCCTTTCTAGGCTATAAAAACAACAAGTCCAAAAAGTCGAAAAATTGACATTTTTCCAAAGGAGTTAACCCATGGTTTTGGTCGAAAAATGGCCATTTTTCAACCTTTTTTTTTTTTTTTTTATAAGCTAGGAAAATGTCTTTTATGATATTCTAGGACGAGAAAACGCCTTTCTAGGCTATAAAAAGAAGAAGTCCAAAAAGTCGAAAAATTGACATTTTTCCAAAGAGGTTAACCCATCGTTTTGGTCCAAAAATGGTCATTTTTCCAACTTTTTCTTTTTAGGCAATATAGGCTAGGAAAATGTCTTTTATGATATTCTAGAACGAAAAAACGCTTTTCTAGGCTTTAAAAACAACAAGTCCAAAAAGTCAAAAAATTGACAAAAAATGGCCATTATTCCAACTTTTTTTTTTTGGCAATATAGGCTAGGAAACTGTCTATTATGATAGTCTAGAACGAGAAAACGCCTTTCTAGGCTATAAAAACAAGAAGTCCAAAAAGTCGAAAAAGTGACATTTTTCCAAAGGGGTTAACCCATGGTTTTAGTCGAAAAATGGCCATTTTTCCAATTTTTTTTTTTTAGGCAATATAGGCTAGATAAATGTCTTTTATGATATTCTAGAACAAAAAAAAAGCTTGTCTAGGCTATAAAAACAAGAAGTCCAAAAAGTCGAAAAATTGACATTTTTCAAAAGGGGTCAACCCATGGGTTTGGTCGAAAAATGGCCATTTTTCCAACTTTTTTTTTTAGGCAATATAGGCTAGGAAAATGTCTTTTATGATATTCTAGAACGAAAAAACGCCTTTCTAGGCTATAAAAACAAGAAGTCCAAAAAGTCGAAAAATGGACATTTTTCCAAAGGGGTTAGCCCATGGTTTTGGTCCAAAAATAGGCATTTTTCCAACTGTTTTTTTTTTTAGGCAATAGAGGCTAAGAAAATGTCTTTTATGATATTCTAGAACGAAAAAACGCCTTTCTGGGCTTTAAAAACAAGAAGTCCAAAAAGTCGAAAAATTGACATTTTTCCAAAGGGGTTAACCCATGGTTTTGGTCTTAAAATGGCCATTTTTTCAACTTTTTTTTTTTAGGCAATATAGGCTAGGAAAATGTCTTTTATGATATTCTAGAACGAAAAAACGCCTTTCTAGGCTATAAAAACAAGACGTCCAAAAAGTCGAAAAATTGACATTTTTCCAAAGGGTTAACCCATGGTTTTGGTCCAAAAATGGCCATTTTTCCAACTTTTTTTTTTAGGCAATATAGGCTAGGAAAATGTCTTTTATGAAATTCGAGAACGAAAAAACGCCTTTCTAGGCTATAAAAACAAGAAGTCCAAAAAGTCGAAAAATTGACATTTTTCCAAAGGGGTTAACCCATGGTTTTCGTCCAAAAAATGCCATTTTTCCAACTTTTTTTTTTTAGGCAATATAGGCTAGGAAAATGTCTTTTATGATATTCTAGAACGAAAAAACGCCTTTCTAGGCTATAAAAACAAGAAGTCCAAAAAGTCGAAAAATTGACATTTTTCCAAAGGGGTTAACCCATGGTTTTGGTCCAAAAATGGGCATTTTTCCAACTTTTTTTTTTTTTTTTTAGGCAATAGAGGCTAAGAAAATGTCTTATGATATTCTAGAACGAAAAAACGGCTTTCTGGGCTTTAAAAACAAGAAGTCCAAAAAGTCGAAAAATTGACATTTTTCCAAAGGGGTTAACCCAAGGTTTTGGTCTTAAAATGGCCATTTTTCCAACTTTTTTTTTTTAGGCAATATAGGGTAGGAAAATGTCTTCTATGATAACCTAGAACGAAAAAACGCCTTTCTAGGCTATAAAAACAAGAAGTCAAAAAAGTCGAAAAATTGACATTTTTCCAAAGGGGTTTTAACCCATGGTTTTGGTCCAAAAATGGCCATTTTTCCAAGTTTTTTTTTTTTTTAGGCAATATAGGCTAGGAAAATGTATTTTATGATATTCTAGAACGAAAAAACGCCTTTCTAGGCTATAAAAACAAGAAGTCCAAAAAGTCGAAAAATTGACATTTTTCCGAAGGAGTTAACCCATGGTTTTGGTCGAAAAATGGCCATTTTTCCAACTTTTTTTTTTTTAGCCAATATAGGCTAGGAAAATGTCTTTTAAGATATTCTAGAACGAAAAAACGCCTTTTTAGGCTATAAAAACAAGAAGTCCAAAAAGTCGAAAAATTGACATTTTTCTAAAGGGATTAACCCATAGTTTTGGTCCAAAAATGGGCATTTTTCGAACTTTTTTTTTTAATGCAATATAGCCTAGGAAAATGTCTTTTATGATATTCTAGAATGAAAAAACGCCTTTCTAGGCTATAAAAACAAGAAGTCCAAAAAGTCGCAAAATTGACATTTTTCCAAAGGGGTTAACCCATGGTTTTGGTCCAAAAATGGCCATTTTTCCAACTTTTTTTTTTTTAGGCAATATAGGCTAAGAAAATGTCTTTTATGATATTCTAGAACGAAAAAACGCCTTTCTAGGCTATAAAAACAAGAAGTCCAAAAAGTCGAAAAATTGACATTTTTCCAAAGGGGTTAACCCATGGTTTTGGTCGAAAAATCGCCATTTTTCCACCTTTTTTTTTTAGGCAATATAGGATAGGAAAATGTCTTTTATGATATTTTAGAACGAAAAAACGCCTGTTTTAGGCTATAAAAACAAGAAGTCCAAAAAGTCGAAAAATTGACATTTTTCCAACTGTTTTTTTTTAGGCAATATAGGCTAGGAAAATGTCTTTTATGATATTCTAGAACGAAAAAACGCCTTTCTAGGCTTTAAAAACAAGAAGTCCAAAAAGTCGAAAAATTGACATTTTTCCAAAGGGGTTAACCCATGGTTTTGGTCTTAAAATGGCCATTTTTCCAACTTTTTTTTTTAGGCAATATAGGCCAGGAAAAAATGTTTTTTATGATATTCTAGAACGAAAAAAACGCCTTTCTAGGCTATAAAAACAAGAAGTCCAAAAAAGTCGAAAAATTGACATTTTTCCAAAGGGGTTAACCCATGGTTTTGGTCCAAAATGGCCATTTTTCCAACTTTTTTTTTTTTAGGCAATATAGGCCAGGAAAATGTCTTTTATGATATTCTAGAACGAAAAAACACCTTTCTAGGCTATAAAAACAAGAAGTCCAAAAAGTGAAAAATTGACATTTTTCCAAAGGGGTTAACCCATGGTTTTGGTCCAAAATTTTTTTTTCCAACTTTTTTTTTTAGGCAATATAGGCCAGGAAAATGTCTTTTATGATATTCTAGAAACGAAAAACACCTTTCTAGGCTATAAAAACAAGAAGTCCAAAAGTCGAAAAATTT